CCCCCCCCCCCCCCCCCCACACTATCGAACGTGTCTGTCTAATGCGTGCCTGCGTGGAAAAAAAGCGAAGGTGGGCGAAGGGGGGAACACGAAATTTGAGACTAAATAAACAAAACACCACAGCACAAAACATAGATACCCAGCGCTTCAAGCTTGGTCCCTCGGCCCCGCAGATCTCTTTGGAGTGAACTCCTTTACGGATGAACCACCATGCAATGATGTGATAATGTATACATATATCCGAAAGCCCGAAGACCTGAACTGCTAGCCCCTGAGCCCGAAAAGCAGCAAGCCGTTATATAAGCTCTAATGCCACAAAGTACCTGAACCAACGCCTGAAATATCCTGAAAATTTGCAGAATCTCGAAGAGCTAACATCCCAACAAGCCATGAGCCCCAGAACGCCTGAACTTCAAAATCCGAACGGCCCAGGAAAACTCCAAAAGCCGTAACCCTAATCCCACAGGTGCCCACAGATTCATCTTCACAAACGCCCCCCCCATCTGCGCCTCAAGCTCGTGCTCAGAAACATCGTCATCGTCATTATCAACATGGAATGTGAACCTCGAGAGCTCAGGATAACGAAAAGGCGCCCTTGGAAGCGCTTGGACACAACACACGTGGGTGCTCCTATGTGCCACACATGCTACAAGGCGAAGGTCAAAGACACGGCCACAGCATACCGAGTCGGCGCCGAATGGTGCTGGATGTTCGAAGGCAAAGGACTTCAGCCACTTAAAGACGACGAGTCGCTCTTTCCACGCTGCCATCGTAAGACGGAGGATGCCCTCGTCTTTGTTTCCGGACATCTGCCTTGCCTGTGATGCGGAGCTTGTACCGGTTTGTGACGGCTTTGTACACTTCAGTGGTGGTACTCGACTTCGCCGTCGGAGAAGCGTAGGCTTTCCATATCCGTGACACCAGCCGTACAGTACTGTAGATACGTAGCCCCTAAAATGGCAAGACCGCCCCTGCCGCGATGAGAGGAAACTCGCAAAGGGGTGCTCTCCGAGCGCAATATGAGCGCTTGGCTAGGTGACTGTCAAGCTCTATTTCACGGTGCATCTCTGACTGGAAGGCTGCATTCCCGAAGTATACCCACGATTTGACCCATTTCGACATGTCATGACAGTGCCACGCAGCATGCAGCTGCATACCGAACCCAATTCTGCGCAATGTCGCGTTGCCAGGATTAAAACCAAGCACAACCCGGGATGGTTTGCAAACAGAGGAAACAAAAGTAAGCCTAGAGATCAACATCAGCTGTGTAGAGCTTCTGTGTTCGACCTGGGTTGTGGATGGTCTCATTAATTGACATAGGAACGGCACCATGTAAAGTCATGGCGCACACTGATCTGGAGTTGGTGGACGGTGGAATCGCGCACGGACACGGCGCAGTCGCGGGCGGGATGACAGAAATCCCAAGCTGTAAAAGCAAAGCCTGAAGCATGAAAGCCATTAGATTAGGTTAATGAAACCAATCTAGACTCTAAGATCTAACGTACCGACCCATCCAAAACCTAGACCCTAAACACCCTGAATCCTCAACACGGCAAACCCACCCACTGCCCGAACACAAAACATTAAAATACATGCTTGAGCCCAGAAAACACCCCCAAAGCGCTAAACCGCAATGAATCCAAACCCTGATAAAGCCCCGAACCGCAACAAACCTAAACACCCTCGATCGTAAACATCAAAAACACAAGCCTCACACCCCACAACCACAAGACGTTGAATCCTAAACTCCTAACCCCGCCGAATCCTGTTGACTCGCATGAGCTTGAACCGCGCGTGTTTGAAACACCGGCGCTCGAATGGGGATCGTGCTCGAATTGCTGGCGGGCGCTCGAATCGTCCAAGCTTATATTTCGTGTGCTTGAGATGTACTGAATGTAATGCTCGAGTCGCGATCGGTGTTCGACTTGAATGACAATGTCTATGCTGCCTTCATTTCAGACTCCTCCGAGACGCGCTTCTCGGCAATAGTGTTGTGAAGGCTCCTCGGAGACTCGTCAATCAGTCAGAGGACATGTTGCCGGGAACACATGACAATTTTGAAGCCCTTCGTGCTGTCCTTGGGTCTACCGCTGACAGCTTCGGGTTGGCAAAGCTTTGCCTGGTCAGCAGTGGAGCAAGAACGCCTGGACATGCAGGTATGGGTTCATGCAAACATGCACTGCTGCGCATGACTTCCGGTGGATGCACCTTGTGCGGTTGCGAGCCTCGATTGCCCGAAGATGATTGCAAACTATTCGCTCAGCTTCACTCCGACACCCTTTCAATACAATCTCTGAGAAAAGAAAATGCCCCGAGGATGCAGCTGAGCTGGTAGATTTTCGACAGACCTCGCTGGCTTCCGCAGCATACGAAAAACAGAAGCTAAATGTGCACATAAAATGGTCCACAAACACCTCTACGCAACTACACCTAGTAGCAACTGTAGCCTCACTGCCGCTGCTTAGGGCTTGGACCTGGGTGACCGACTACAGCGACTACAGGAAGGTGGAAGAATCCAGAGTTGCAACGACGATGCCCACCATGCAATGCACTGCCATGTTCATGGGAAGATTGAAGTTGCCACATGCAGCTCCGACACACTGCTACGCTTCCTTGGAGGTGCCGTAAAGTTCTCTCCGTCCTTAGCAACCCAGGATAGAGTAAGCTAATGTCGCCGGGAGTGCCTCCGAGATTCTTCGAGAATGGTTCGAAATTTGGGGCAACTGGGTTCGGCCGAGTATTGCTCTCAGCACTTCTTAATCCAGGCCTTCCTGCCTGCCAAGTGGCTGAGGCCACTGGACGAATGCGGATCGGATCAGCCTAGGTCTGAGCATGGGGTCCGAAGTTCCATCTTGCGTCCGCTTGCATCCGCTTGCATCCGCTTGCATCCGCTTGCATCCGCTTGCATCTGCACTCGGCTGCATCTGAGGCACACGGAAGCTAAGTTTCGGAGCCGGACCCTGGAGTTTACAGGAGCATTTCTGCTGTCTTCCCCCCTCTTCACATTCGAAAATGTGCTCTTGCGCCTCTTTCAGGGCGGACTCGCTGGACTGGTCCATGCCTTCGACCCTGACAGCAGAGCGGGCATCGACCGCGAAGGATCTCTGAACTCGGAAGAGAAAACGCGTCCCCGTGATTTTTCCGAGGGCCTTGATCGCCTGCGACCAGAGCCCATGCTGAGCTCATGCCTTGCAAGGCCCAGAGATCGTCTGCTACGTAAGTTGGGTATTTCAAGCTTACAGAAAATGTCCGGTTGCATTCAAGGCTCGCTTGCAAAAGCGTCTCTTCAAGCTCGCTCAGGATCTGCGTCAACGCATCGCTAAAGGAGTCGCGATTGACGACACTGACCTTCAGTGCAACTTTCATGCTGCTCTTGCAGCTCATGTAAGGTGTGCAGATCTGGGGACCGATCTCCAGGAGAGAAAGACCTTGCGGACAGTCTCTAAGACTCTAAGAAGCTTCCATCACCCTTTCAGTCGTGACATGCTCCGGCGCACCTTATTTCACCAGATGCCGTGCCCCAACTGTTGGGACTGTCAGAGCGACGAAGCGACATGGCAGCTTCGTTGATGTACGTCTACAACCCTGAAACGGTGGCTATTCCAGACAAGTGTCCCTACACAACCAAGTTTGAGAACGGCCCTCCGCAACTGGTCTGTGCGTGTGTGACGCCATCGCGTGCAACCCGTGCCCAGCCGAAAATCACCCACAGGTCTTGTACATAGCTGTACCTTGAGTGTCTCGTGTGAATACTTCCGCATGTCGGCCAAATGCTGCTAGCAGATGTCAATCAACTGGAACGGTAAAGCTTTTGAAGATGGCCTGGAGGCCTCTTGAAACTCGTCAGACAACCGGCACATGACTTAGAAGCGCTGCTAGCGAATTTTTGTTTGCTGTCGCCCTGTGTTGCATGGTGTCGAAAGTCTTGCGTTTGCAAGTACTGAGACGGAGACTACAAAGAGATGACAGGTGTCGCCTGTACATGGAACTGCCTGGCTGATCCAAGACTGATTCAGCACTCAACGTGATCTGCAGATCGAAGTTTAGGATCTGCTATGCGCACGTCCGCGCTGCAACCTGTCGAAGAAGCTGTTGCAAAGTAAGAATGCCAAGCCGTGTCACCACAGGAATCCAGGCACGTGAAAGCTGTCGGGCCTTCGCGAAGGCAACAAGGATACCTTCCACCGTGTGTGGCACTTGCGACCACTGTGTTGCATGACTGGCACCTCCTGGCTGTCGCAAGGCGTACCTGGGACAGCTCAGGGGAGCCCTCATCCGGGAAGGGCAAGTGATGTAGACGCGAGGCAGAGCTGGGACAGAAGCCTAGCCAGCAGCAGGCCGGATCCTCCCCTCGCAGCCTGGTCGCAATCGCAAGATAGAGACTCCCTTTGCGGCACTTCCTCGGCAACACATGGCAACAGCTTCAATACATGCCACAAGGTGTTGACTCATATCATATCCATCATATCACGAATCACCATCACCGACTATCACCCGCTCGTTGCTCCCATTCTTTGGGGAGCCGATCGACCAGGCACTGCATTAACTGAAGCAATGAGACTTGCTGCTCTTTCATCGAGGACATCCTGGATTTACACAGGACTGTCCTTCCAAAAGCGACTGGACAATGGTCCTGCGCTGCCCACTGCTGCCCATTTCAGTGATCAATGAACCCACAGCGTCATGGCCCAGCGGTTGCCATGAAGCGAAGGGGCCACGGCATGCCTTGGTACAGTCGGTACTGAGCTGCGTTTCTTTCTTTGGGCTTGCGGGTCAGAAACACGAGTTGTGTTAAGTTAAGTGGTGATCTGCCAGCGCGGAAACCCACCCTGCACATGCAAATCATGAGTTTGGCGTGCAGCATCCACGGCATGGCAACGCAATGCAACACAGCGACTGTTGATAAGCAATCGCGAGAAAGGATCAAAGACGCTTTTGTTGTGTCCTGTACCAGTACTACCAGTACCAGCAAAAGCGATTCACCTGGATAGCACACCCTCGCAGCTGGTGACCGCAAGGTGCATTTCTCCCAAGCGCCTGCGACCTCCGCAAAGCGCGACTCGTTGCAAATTCCACGCCTATATGGGACTCAAGTCGGCCTCGAAATGTCTGAATCCCTTCAGTACATCGGGGGAGGCGTTTTGGCGCTAGTACACGAATGGAAGCATGCTGGTCAGGTCTGAACCCGCCAGTACCAATCCCGCCAGTACATGAGGGAAAGCAAGTTTAAGTTATGCGGGGAGCCTTTTGACTATGGTGCCCTGGTATTGTCCTGGTGGTGTCCCGGTGGTCTCCTTGCATCTTTCGGAGGCCTTTTTGCGGTCTCGTCGTGAAGGTCCAGGTGGTCGGGTGGCCGTGCTCGTCGTGGTCGACGTGACCGTCATGGTAGTCGTGGTCCTCACGGTCGTGACGGTCGTCCTGTGTGCTGGATCACTGCTTGGGGGGTCTACACAGTTTACACTTGCATAGTTGGATTGAGCATGCTGCATTGAATTCATGTTGGCACAGGCGGGACGTTGGGATAGGTGGGACAAGCCGAGCGGTTGCTGTAGGAAGCAGAGTTGAAATCATCAGCTGAGTTGCCAAATCCTGCGGCTGTCAAAAAGCACCACGGTGCCAGCCTAAGCATGATTCATCTCTCAGACATCATCTAATCCCTTGCATTTGCTCACAGGCCTTGGGCTCCACATTCCGATAGCGCCTCGAAATACCGTAGTCAGGAAAAGGGCGAGACAGGAACGCAGGGACCTGCCTTGGGTCGGGCCGCTCGCCACCGGAGTGGATGCGCAGCTCGCCACCATACCCATCGTGCCAGTCCTGATTGAGCGATAGTGCCGACTGTGCAGCTGGATCAACTGACCTTGCTTCGCATGTCAGATGAATCTGAGCCACATTTAAGTATGCAAGCACAGTCAGCCGTCTGGTGGCGCCCGTGGCCGGGTCGTTGTCGGATGGCGCATACGAGTCCTTTCTCATTGTGCAGTCTCTTTGTCACTGGTGTCGTTTGGCCCCGCGGGCCTGGCCTAGCCTAGCTGCTGCTCCTTGTGCAAGGCATATGCAGCCGCTTGTTCCGGGTAAACGGCGATCCTAGCCAAGGTCACAAGCAAAGGGAAGACCGCAAGAGCAGCTTGCAGAATGGAGCTGGCGCAAGTTCTGCCTGCCGTTTAACTTGTGCACGTTGCGCGTGCCACAGCTACAACAGGACACGAGTCAGAAATCGCACATGCTAGCTGATGCTGATGTCGCAGCACTCCAATATCAGCCGGGAAACATCGCTGCAGGATGGACTTTGAGTTCCTGGCATGCAGTTCGGCGGAAAGGATGGTATAGTCTGTTGAAGGTTCTTCCAGTGCGGCAGAGCTGGACTGCCTCACCAAAGCCCCCGAGTCCATGCACATGAGCCGGCAGCCCTGCCAAGCAAACGCAGCGCTAGCAAGCTGCTTCCGCTGACTCTTCAGATGAATTTCCTGCGAGGCCACTGTCCCACGCCGTACTGATAAATTGAGACTAAGGCTGCTTTCAAGGGTCCACCTGCCAGCATTCGTCCGAGACGGCTGAGCGCTGGCAGACGCTCTTCCAGCTGTGCCAGACCCTGGCAAGTTCAAGGTTTCCAAGACCGCTCTCAGATCCCTTTTCCGCCAAGCAACCGCTGGTTCACCGAAGTCCAGCCACGCAGACCTGGACCTAGGAATCTGCAGAATCGATTTAGAGGATCGGGTCGCTCTGAACTCGCTCTGACTCTCTGACGCAGCGGTGCCCTGTTGGCAAGGGGCCCGGCCCACGGTTGCAGCGGTTTGTCGTCACGGTGGTAGCCGAACCGTCCAGGGCTTCACACTCCTGCACCAGTTAAATAAGCTCCATGCATGGACTGCTTCCGCTGGATCCAATGAAACATGCTCTTAGCATGCATAGCGTGTATTGGACAAGTCCATCCCGTGCACATAAACACAGACAGACATGCAGGCACGGAAAATCGGTCGAAGACTGCACATCCTTCCAGATTTCCGTCATCGCTCGTCGCAACGTGTTGTCGATACAACGAAAAACCAACAGACGTGGGCAATTGTGACTCAGATGGCAAGGCATGCCTGACATCCAGGAAACAGGCACAACGATGCCACGTGCAGTTCTACGGGAACAGGCGACCTACGAGACCAGGCAGCCCGGCCGTCCCACATCGTCCCACTGCTTTTGCGCTTCTCCCTTGTGCCTCGCGTAGCCTCCCAGCCTTGAAAAACAAAGCCATTACAACACCGTCAGAGAGCCTTTCAGCTCCACAGCAGAGCGTCTGGGTCTAGGTGTCCAGAAGCAACCATGGACAAATCGGCTGCTAACTGGGGAAACTGGCATATCCTCGTCTTAAGCAAGACTCCTCCTTGGCATCGAAGGCAAGGCTTTTGTCAAACGCCCCGGGAAGAATCACAAAGCCTTGGAGCTGCATTAACTAGGTCATGCGCATCATGAGAGATGCACGCTGTCTGCTGCCTTGTCTTCCTCGGCATACTTAGATTTAAATTTGATACGTGGCCCTCTCGGCTTGAAAGCCTCAACGGAACTTTGGGCAGCTGCAAGGCAAACGCGTGACCACAACCGACGAAGGTGCTTCTGCTGTCAACAAGGGCCCCCCGGTGCCTTCGCGGTGCAAAGCTTCCAGATCAGCTGCTTCGAAGACGTTGGAGGCCCACTCGTGCTTCCAAGACTCTGCGTCCTGCCGCAATTGAGCTTTGAGCAGTTCGGTGCTAGTTTCCGGCTCTGGACGATGTGGGGACAGAGGATGCCGTAAGGGTCACGTCGATAACTTGCCCCAGCCTCGTGACATGTGCTGTTAGACAGGCCATTGTGACAGGCCTGTCCTGGAAACTGGGCAGCAGCGTCGCTCGACTCAGGAGTGACAACGGTGCAGCCGTGGCTGGTCGACACCTCCACCGGAGCATCCGGGATGCAAGCCCAGTCCCTCGGAATGTGTTGAGCATTCTGTCTGCTAAACAGCAAATTTTCATCATGGTAGCCACACAGGGGCTTGTCATGCACACGCATTCTGAATTGGTAACGCGTGCATATTTGCACAGAGGGTTGAGACCGTGTCGCCCAACCCCGGAACTGCTCAGAGATCTGGTTCTGAACGGTGTGCATCGGGTCTGACGACCCAGATTAATTAAGGAAGTCTTCACTACTCAAACGCACAAAAAATATCGTGGAGACACATCAGGAGAGTGCTGCACTCTCCGCTCGGAGCTTATGTCGCCTGTCTGCTTTTCATCTGGGACCGCAGCATCAGCTCAAACCTCTGGAGAGGTTCCAACAACAAGTTCGCCTCTTGAGTTGGCAGCCTGTCAGGCTGAATGGCAGATAGCCGCGTCTTCAAGGTGACAACGGTGTCCACTAAGTCTTCAAGCTCCGAACTTGGGCTTTTCAGCGGCAACTGCTCCTGGCGTCCCCTGCAGGGGGTGGGTAACAAGAAAATCGGCAGCGCAGGTGCTGGCGGGACTCGAGGTCCCTGGCTGCTGTCAACACTTTCGACGCAGCTTTCGGTGCTTCGTCGGCGCTCAATGCCAGCAAAATGTGTTGAGGAAATCGCACTGACTTCGAGTGGGTGCTGAGCACTCACAGGACCTTGATCGCCTTGATCGGGAGGTGGAAAAACAGGCTTCGGAGGAAGCGGCTGAATGAATAGCCGTCGTTTCAATATCTCTCTGCAGCGTCCTTGTGCTCCTTCCGATGCGCAGCGGACTTGAACCTCCTGTTCGAGCTCCTCTCTGGGACCGACACGGTGCAGGTCAGATGCGGAGCGAACCTGGGCACCGACCAAGCTTCCCCGAGCCCACTTCCCAAGCTCTGTGGGTTGGGTCACGGGATTCGGCGCCTGCTTAGGCTTCGGTTCCTCCTTCTCGCTGTCACCACAGAGCAAGCTGCTCTTTTCGATCGAGGCCTCGGCCGAAGCCTCGGCCTCTGCCCAGCGCGGCGGGCTTGGGGAAGAGGCTAACAAGCGTCGAAGCTCGCGGAGGCCTTCCGGAAGCCGCTTGGCCGGAGCGTCCTTCTCTCTCGGGTAGGTTTGGGTTGCCTGAATTTGCGACTTGATGGAATCCTTTCGCCTCTCCTCACCCAGGCTTGGCCTGGATGTCTTCGGCCCTTGCTGGCCTTGCTGCCCTGGCTGGCCCGTCACTCGAGCAGAGAGTGGGATTGGCTTGCGAGGTGCCAGGGCACTGGAGCTTGAGCGCAAAGGCCCCGCAACACGAGCACTGCGTCGACCGCGGGGTGGGCTGCCACTGGCCGGCCGAAGCTTTGTGGCTCTGGCAACTCCAGCAACTCCGACTCCGGCTTCTCTTGGAGACATGGCCCGTCGCAATGCCTCTCCCTGTATGGCCTGTACTTCGTGCGAGCCAGCTGCACGAGCTATTTGTGTGTCCGGGGCTTTCCAGCTCAGCAGGGTGCCATCCGTCCAAGAGGCAATCATCTGATCACCTGGTAAAAAGGAAACTCCTCTGGGTGGATCAGCCTGCCCAGCTGCCAATCGGGCAAGGGGCTGCAAGCAGCCTCCGGCTGCAAACAGCAGAACTCCCGCTGCACCTTTGAGGATGGCGGCCAAGAATCTTCCATCGTTGCTCAGCTGGATTGGCCCGACAATCTCGACATTACTCCCACCGATGACGACCTCTTCAGTTCGGCGACCAGCTTCATCCAGCTGCAGCACACGCCGATTGCTACAAGCTGCGTAGAAGCGGCCTCGGACAGCATCATTGCACACTCCGACCCACCGAGAGCCCCGTGCTGCCTGCTGTCGGGCACACTTATGCACAGAGGTGCGGCTCTCCGTGGACTCAGCTTCTCGCCAGATCAACTGGTCAGACGTGCAAACGACTACGCGAAATATCTCACTGCCCATGGGTGAGCTGCTTGGCGTAGTCAGAAGGGCAACATGTTGCACCGGCGACGAGTGATGCTGCAGGTGCAACAGGAGGCTCGCTCGGCTGGACTCGATGCCAGTGCTGCTTTGCTGAAGCTCTATGCTGAAGACGAAGGCGCTACGATCTTGTGAGACAGAAGCCAGAAGAACAGGCCGTAGAGATGCGGGCTTCCAATGCCCAAAGCTCAGTCCCAAAACCTCTGCTGCATGCTTGGATGGCATAAGCCCAAGTTCACGAAGGCCATGGAGAGCTGCAAGCAGCCTCACCTCACCGTTGGCATGTCCACATGCAACAACCCAGGGGGAGACAGCGAGAGCTGTCAGCTCGCAACCCTGCGCAGAAGCCGGTTCGGTCTGGACTTCAAGCCGCAAGTCTCCATGCAGCGGCCTTGTCCAAAGCTGCACACTCCAGCTGGAATAGGACACAACCCGCGTCAGGATGTTGCCTGGCAGCGTGTAGGAGCCCCGGAAGTCACACACGGCCCCGGGCAGTGTCCAGGCTGCAGCAGCACTGTCTGAAAAAAACGATAATGATCTATCAGAATACAGGACCCACAAACCATCCATGAGGGGATTGGTCGCAACACCGATTGCATCTGGCCGTGTACTGGAACTAGCATTCAGCTTGAAGACGGTGGTCATACTGGATGCATCTAGTACATCCACGATACCACCTGGCAGAGAAAGTGCAGTGCAAGACTCATGCAACTCAACTCTTTGCGCTCGATTAAAAACAGTCTGTGCAGTTTTCGGGCCTGCCAGCGCACAGGCCAACACCTCACTCAGGCAGAATCAAAATCAACCTAACATGCTATAACGTGCTCGCGGAATCTTTGAAGCTCCTGTTCGCCCTGGGCTTCCTAGCTTCGACAAAGGAAACGTGAAGGCCGAGTAGCACCGCCGGGCGGGGCGGCACCAAGCAGGCGCCGGGCCCATCGCAGGGCTGCAATCCGCTTGCCGAGATCTCGCCACAGCGGGGCCTGCCAGCAGCATGCTTTACCGTACTGCCGATTGGCAGACATGCACATCATGCCATGCCATATCAAGAAAGTGCCTTGCTCGTGGATTCACAAAAGGTGACGCCAAGGCCGCCGTGCTTCGTTGCCAGGAAAAGGGCACTCTCCACACCTTATGTGGTCTGTCAGTGCATTATCAGACAAGTACTCGCTCATAGATTTCTTCGGGGCAGAAGCAGCAAGAAGGATGGTACGGAAAAACAGACACTGCAGCCGTCCGATCAATCTTTGAATCAGGCTGGAAGAGCATGGGACAACACAAACCATGGATGTTTGCATGCGTACATATCTACTTTCCATGTTGATTTCTTACAGGCACAAATGCGTATGTGTATGTCGCTATTTGTGAAATACAAATAAATACATGTTTGAAAAAATGCACAAGTACATGCAGATCATGTGCTCCCACTTCCAATGTACGACTGTACAATATCTTGTGTTTCATGCAACCATCTGCTACTGCGCATAGACCACCATTGCAAAAAAAAATCAACTGTTCAAATCAGCCACCACTATACGCTGGTATAAAATGCTGTAAGCGACTACGACTCCTTTACTCATCAAACCCGTTTTGCAGTCATAAAGATTTAGATGCTTTTGTGTACAATGACATGTTGGCATGCATGCTCATGCGCCATGGCAGGTCAGCGTGTGTGAGGCTATGTACTACGATGAACTGTAAGGCAAGGATGTGCTCCGGCACTCGCGTGCAAGCTTGGTTCAAGTACCTGGGACACTTCATCGTATACGCTTCTTGTGGTAGAATACTTAGTTGTATTGCTTTCACTTAGATGTAACTTGTCAGCTTTATCAGCAAAATGACGTAGTTGTAAATTTTTTGATCTCCGAAAACAGCAAATCTCTGCACGGCGCTGCAAAACAGGCATCTTAGCCATAACAGTTTTAGGTGTTTTTATCACCCAGCCAACAACAATGGATGGTGAAATAAGTATTTTGGTGAAGGGTCGACGAAAACCTGAACGTCAAGACGCACCCTCCGTTGTGGTGAAGGGTTCCCACTGGATTCGTTCCTTAAAGTTTTCGTCTTCGGAAGAACTTCCTGCTGGATTCTCTCCTTAGGGCTTTCGTCTTGGGACTTCCCTCCTTAAGATTTCCGTCTTAAGTATTCACTCCTTAAGGTGTTCGTCTTTTGCTTCAGTATCCTGCTGCTGGATTCACTCCCTATGGTTTTCGTCCTCGGTCAAGCGCTCCGGCTGGATGCGCTTGCTTAGGGTTTTCGTCTTCGGGAAAAACTTGCTGCTGGATTCACTCCTTAACGTTTTCGTCTTGGGTATTCACTCCTTAAGGTGTTCGTCTCTTGTTACAATATCCTGCTGCTGGATTCACTTCTTATGGTTTTCGTCGTTGGTCAAGAGCTCCGGCTGGATGCTCCGCTTAAAGTTTTCGACTATGGGAAAAGCTTCCTTCTGGATTAACTCCTTAGGGTTTTCGGGAATTCCTTCCTTAAGGTTTTTGTCTTGGGTATTCACTCCTTAAGGTTTTGGTTTAAAGTCAAAAATTCCTGTTGGATTCACTCCCTAGGGTTTTCGTCTTCAGGAAAAGGTTCCTGTTGGATTTTACTCCTTAGGGTTTTCGTCTTCAGGAAAATGTTCCTGCTGGATTCACTCCTTGCGGTTTTCGTCTTCCGGGAAAAGGTTCCTTTGGATTCACTTATCAGGGTTTTTCGCCTTGGGTATTCACTCCTGAGGGTTTTCGTTTTGGGTATTCACTCCTTAAGAATTTCGTCTTGGGTTAACGTTTCCTACTGGACTCACTCCTTGGGGTTTTCGTCCTGAAAAAAGATCCTGCTGGATTCGCTCCGTAGGGTTTTCGTCTTCAGGAAAAGTGTTGGATTCACTCCGTAAAGTTTCCGCCTGGGGAATTCACGCCTGAAGGGTTTTCGTCTTGGGTATTCATTCCTGAAGGTCTTCGTCTTTTGTTACAGTATCCTGCTGCTAGCTTCACTCCTTAAGTAAGGTTCGCGCCTTCGGTCAACGGTTCGTGCTGGATTCACTCCTAAAGGATTTCGCCTTCGGAAGAACTTCCTGCTGGATTCACTCCTTAGGCTTTTCGTCTTGGGCATTCACTCCTTAGGGTTTTCGTCTTGGGTTAAAGTTTCCTGCTGGATGCACTCCTTACGGGTTTCGTCTTCGGTCAAAGGATTCACTGCGTAGGGTTTTCGTCTTCGGGAAAAGGTTGCTGTTCGAATTCACTCCTTAGGATTTGCGTTCACTCCTGGCCACGTGCGCATGATTGTCTGTATGAGCTGGTTCCCTCCTCCTACGCAAACCCGGACTTCCGGGTTGGTTGGGGTTAAAGTGCGGTAGGTGGGGTAGTGGGGGTAGTGGGGGTAGGTGGGGTAGGCCGGGCAGGTGGATTAGTTGTGGGTAAGCGTACGCGGGGTAAGTGGGGTCAGTAGGAAAAGGAAAAAGTTACATCCAAGAGAAAAGATGCTACATCTAAGTTACAACTAAGCCTGCTACCGTTGTTTTGCAACCCTATACGCCTTCATTTACCATTCGACAAAGATGCAAAAAAAGTTCTACCACCTAAATGTTGTCATACGTTGTTGGATAGTCTGTGCTGACCTATGCTAGTCTTAGTCGGGTAAACGGTTGCACACTTCTCCAACATGCCCTCATGTGCCCAATAAGGATACCCGTACACAGCTTTCTGATGCCCCAGCACAAGCGCGAATTGTTGGCTTTGCCTGGACTCTATGCTACCAAAGAACAAGTCGGAGGCTGGAAGTCAAGAAGTCGACGCGGCGTAAACGGACAATTTTAGCATGTTCCAGCTGTGAGTAGCACTAGTTGTCGTGATAACACCAGCTGATGTTCGCATGACTAACAACAGAACCACGAACCGCGATTTTCCAAAGCTGGCACTGCATACCGCTTGCAATCTGACAGATGCCATCTTTGCTGCCCGATATGGGACGCATGATCTCTCTTGCGGCGGTTGCCCCGTGCATGATAGTAGATGGGGATGCCGAGGCCGAGGATGAAAAGGGTTTCGATTGAGGATTGGGTCCGAGAGGGCAAAGATCTCAAAGGACGGCAGCAGACGGAGGAGCCGTCACCGCTGCAGGCGCCATTAATTTCGGCTTAAGGGTTTCGAGGAATGTAGGGTTTTATCTCCAGGCTCAGAGGACGAAGCAACTAGCACAACCTCTGTGAGCCGGTGCGATAACATGAACAACACATAGCGAAGCTCTCGCTCGGTGGGGACTGCAATAGCAATTCCACGACTTTACAGGATGTGTAACTGGTTTGGCATCCTGACAGGTTGTAACTGCATGCCTTAAACGACCGCCAGCTACAGTCACTCCGCTCCCTGAAAGTTCTTCCGACCTCAGACATGCAGCGAGGTGCAAGTTGCAAGACCGCTCACCCGGACAGGTCAAAGCATTCCCAACAAGACGGCGCCTGTCCCTTCGTGAAGTTCGAATTGAGGGACTGTCCAGCAGAGAACAATTTTAGAGCGTGAACGAAGACCGTACATTGCTTGGCGAAGGGGACCCGGCTGAAGGAAGGACAAAGATGCGTACTCGGCTTCGGGAACGAAAGCTGTCTGAACGGTCTGAACATGGAACACTTGTTTTCCATTTGAAAAATACGCTCAAACCAAAAGTATATCTCGACTACATTCACGCTTTGTGGGCACGAGTACCACTTTTGCTCGCACCACCAGCGACAGGTCATCCAAAAGGAAACGAGGGCCCAGCAATGCATCACAACTTCGTGACTGAGCTGCACAGTGCCAGGCACATGGTCAACTAGAGTGGGCAAAGCCTACCATCTGCACTCTGCACCTGTCCTCCCATCAGCTCGACAAACGGCTTGCCTGCGACGTACCAGTCGCACAATTGCTCTTTCCTGCGGCAAGTGCTTGCGATTGGCAGTTTTCGCGGCCTCCTCGGCAACATCATTACCAAAAGCAGTCCATGCATCCAGGTCGTTGCCTTGTAACTTGTAATCACGATGCGACTTCACGTGCACGATGGACCATCTTTCATGGTGCTTTGAAGAAAGGACCGGCGCAGGCAAAGTGGCCAGTCTATTTATGATGACAGTAATACTAACGAGCCGAAGATGATGACAAGAAGAAGGGCAAGGACAAGACCAAGGACGCTGATGCAACGAAGCAACATGTCGAGGCAGTTGAACATGTCTGCGAGTCCGAGCCATACCAAATTCAAGCTGTGGGGCGGCGCAGTCACCGATGGGCAGCTGGACTGGCCGGACAGGCCACTGCAGCGTGGCAAGCAGCGGATTTCGCCGGGAAATGCTCAGCCACTGCACACTGACAGGACTGGCACGTGATGCAGTCTCCGAGTAGTCTGAAGACCCAATGGCCACAACTGTCCTTCATCTACCACTGACTGCCCCAAAACCTGAATGAGGCAACAGATGACGATTACCCGGTAGTGCGAAGCTGGTTGCACGATCAATCAAGACGGACATTGAAGCCTGGGCGGTGCCGTGTTTGCTCTCGACAGGCCGGGCCCCTCAATCACCTGGCAAGACAGCTCGCTTCTCGGACCCAAAACCTCTTCCACCTCCTGCGATCCCTTGCAGGAGTACTAAGCTGGGGGCCACAAGCAACGAGATAGTGCATTTTTTACTTAGTCAGTTCATCCACACGCACACATGCACCGGCGGCAAACCAGGCAGAGCCTCCTCCGCCAACGGCACAAACAGCCGTTCCCCCTGCATGTGGCCACATCATGACCCACTCAGTGTCGGCTTGGCGTGTTGGGGAACCGCCGGAAGCTGAAGGCAGCACGCCGGACAAAAGCCGGTATCACATGCCGCGGTTTTGTCACACGGGCTTGTGCTTTAACTTACCCCTTCATGTAGCATCGGTACCGTCGCTCTTTCTCTCTCTTGAATGCTTCCTTTCTTCAGGCAGTCGATTTTGCTCTTATCCGCGTTCCTAGTGTCTTAGTTTCTCTGCATCTGCCAGAGAGCACACAATCAATCAATCAATCAATCAATCTATCTATCTATCTATCTATCTATCTATATGTGAACCTTGCACGCTTCCTGTCTTCATGCCGGAACTACCTAGCTGTGCCTTCCAGTTTCCTGGTTCCCCTTGAACTAGCCTGTTATGAAAAATGAGTTCATGCTGATCCAACCTTCCTTGACTTATCTCCCTCCGAGTACAGGGTTTGAAAATCATACAACACCTTTCCATGCAAGACGAGGGGCCAAATGCGACGGCAACTAGTGAATCTTCAGCTGGCCGCCTGCGACCTGCCGTAGCAGTGCCCGCCAAGCGGCTGCATGCGGCCAGGGCAGTGGGGCCGATTGGCCCAATAGGCAGGGAACGCCCCAGCAGTCGCAGCGGCAGCAATCCTCCCCCACAACTGAGCTTGATGCCCCCAGCTGACCTCCCAGTAATGGAGTCATGCGAGCGTACCAAAGTCCAAACTTTTGCTCCATAAGGCCCCACCGTCAGTAAGACGGCCTCGTCCGGGGACCCGGCGATGTCTTGAGTTCCCCGACCACAGGTGGAGGTTGCTAAACGCTCGCCAGATGGCCAAGACCACACCATGAGCTGCTGCTCCGCGGACGTCGAATGCTCGCTTTCAAACTCGACAATTGCAGCCACGAGCTCACCCTGGGCCGCCCAGCACAGATAACGTGCGCATCGACGCACACCCAACGGCATGGTGGAAACGACATCCTTGCTCTCGCTACTCATGATGATGACCTGACCAGAGCGTCCTCCAAAGCACGATTCCCCAATGGCCCACCACCTACCGCAGGGCGAACCGGCCATGCATGTGAGGGGCCGCGGACGCGGGCCCAACTGCATCTGCTGGTGACTTTCCGTGCTCTCGAACAAGCTTCCTCCGCTGATGCTCAACAAGGTACCAGTTGCGGCTGCAGCAAAGCAATGTCGGGATGCAATGGCCTGAGGTTGCAGCGTGAAAGACGGGGCGAGAGGCCCAGGCAACAAGCTTTCATGTGCATCATGTCGGTTCTCCTCTTGGGCATACCGTGAACGTGGAACCCCTCTTGGCGAGGGAGATCGGCGACCAGAGCGGTGCATGCCGCTGGCCGTTGGTACTCAAGCCTTCTGTAAACAACATGGCTGCAGCATGCTGCTCCTGACAAGGTCTTTGACATCTCTGAACACATGTGTATAAAAAGCCGTGAGATGCAGCAGAGAGAACCTGGCCTTGATTCGGCATGTGCACGGCAAGCTAGTAAGACCTTGTCAACGTCCGAAACCAGGTAAAGACCCGTGAGCTGTGAGGCCACCGGCAGAACGAATGGACTGTGACCATGCCAGCTGTGCTTCTTTCCTTGCTGCCCACCTTCTCCTTCTCAGCAGCAAACCTCGCTGCCAGCGCCCGAACGCCTGTGCCTGAGGCCAACCGAGCACGAGTAGGGCAGGGCCAAGCCAGGCAAGCCAGGCAAGCACATGGGCCATGGGTCTTTGCCTGCACTTTCCAGCTCCCGAGCTTCTCCGGCACTACGCCGCTGGAGCTCTGCTTCACAGGCGATGGAAACAGCCTCACAGAAGAGGCCAGACAAAGCAATGTGGCCAAAGGAGTCCTCCAAGACGATATCGACGAAGTGCACTCTGAGGATCACTCTCACAATGCGCAACTCTCATTCGGCCGTGCCTTCCAAGCCATGGTTTCTTCGCTTGCGCCAGGGGTTCCCCCGCCAGCAAGTAGCGACAGCAGCCTTGCGACGGAAGGTCCACTATGGACTTTGCAACGTTCTTTGCTTATCAAACGCTCAGGATACGAAACAAATTGACACTGCTTACTGCCCTGGCGTCCAGCAGCACACCTTTGGCCATCCCACCTTTCGAAGGACTCATCGTCCGGCCCGGTGCGCGACAGCCTCACCTTGACATGGACACAGAGCACAAACAGATGCATGCCTGTCAGGAGCATTCATTGTCAGAGCCCGTCTCACTTGTCCCAACGTCATCAAGCACTCTTGTCCGCACAGGGCGCCTCCATTGCTTGCCCTTTCGACGCAGCCTCCTCGTCGAGGTGTCGCAGCAGGTCCACGGTGTAAGCATCGTTTGCGTTGTCCCTGCTGGTATTTTCTCTTACACAGCCGTGGAGTTCTGTTCGCGACGAGCAGGATTTGAGTTCGCTCCCAAAGCAGTCCAGGCCAATACAGTTTTCATATTGTGGAATCTAGCGAAAATACCCCGCCTTTCAACAAAGCCATAGAACTGAAGCAGGGTGTCGTTGCTCCGCTTCTCGCCATAGTTGATGCAGACTTCTTCACCGTCCTGTGACAAAGCTCTCAACATTGTTCCAACAGCTAGCTACACGGTCTGCAGATCAAGCACCCGGGCAAATCTCGGGTCTTCGTCCTGAAAGGTACCGTTCACCCGCACGACGAATGCATTGCCGAAATATTCATAAGCAATGTCGGAGATGGCATCGCTGTCCTGGCACCAACGTGGCTCCTACTGCAGCACGCACTCTCCTTGTCTATCTCGCTACAATTGCGAGCGATCGTACTGCCAAAGACGCAAGGCATGCCACAAGCCAAAGCGATCGAAAGCCTTGCAACAGAATCTTAAATCCTGTCAGCCGAAAACAGACGGCCACCTCGGAACAGTCTTACAGCATGGCGGCAAGCGTACCACAAGCACAAGGCCCCGAAGGGAGGACAGGTCGAAAGTCGATCTTATCCTCCATTCATGGCGAAGAACAACACGAATTTCCGAAGCGACGCGCTGTGCCGAAGTCGCACGTTCCGATGCCAGTGTGCGGAAGGACTGACGGGATGGACCAGAATCGCGATTTAAAAAAAAAAATCTCAATGCATACATGCCAAGGCACATGGTTGAGGTAATCCACGACCGGACAAACCACGTGCCTCTTCAGCTTGGACGTCCTCACATTCTGCAGCAGCTCGTCTGTCGGCCGTCTAGTCAGGTTTTCAATTAGGGGGCATGACCTGTAACCGCTTAGGTGCAGTGCGATCGTATCTATGCGCAATGGGCAGGTTCAAGAATGCATCGCATAGCTCTTGCAGCTTGGGAGCTGTCCAACGAGGAAGTCCTGCAACTGAGACCAATGAAGAATGCAGAAGCTTGCCAGGAAATTGAAAGGAATATGCCTGTAAAGGAATGGCCAGCGCAGCCGCCAAGGCGCCATTAAGGCTTGCCTCCAGCGACAGCGCGCCGGAGGCGACGCCCGCACCGGCCCTTCACAGCACGAAATACCATGAAGCGTGAGCGGACGCTTTTGCCCGGGCAAGTGGCAAGGCAGCGGTGAATGCCAGCTGTGCCAATCGGTCCTGTCCATCTGCACACTGACTGCAAGACGATGCAAGACCACTGGCGAGAAGCGACTAGACTCGACCTTAGAGTCGTCCTGGGCGTTGCGACCCTCGTACGGTCCACTGAAGGCACGGCTGCGGACGACTTGGACCGCCCAGGTGAACTCAGCCTTCGGGGTAAGAGAAGCCCTTTCAACTCTCTAAGTGAAAAAAAAGACTGGAGCTGAGCTGAGCCGCCTCGGTGAAGCGCAGGCGGCACGTTTGCGCTGCAAGACCAAAGGCATCTTGAAGCTCACGGCGTTGTTTCTCGATCCTTGCGACCCACGCTGGTGTCAGCCACCGAGGTAGAGACATGAACGGATTAACGTCTCGGCCCACAGAAGAAACGGCGAGCTGGCAAACTCTCGCGGTCAACAGATCGATTGATTCTCCCTTCTTGAAGCCCTTTCAATTTAGAACATTTGCAGGCACTTCTGTGAAGCTCCATGCAAGCATCAGGCTGAAAACCCGCCCCCTCCGGTCAGCAAGCCTCGACCCTGGCCGTAAGGTCAGTGACATTAGGGCTCGACTGGGAAGGAGAGAAGATGACAGAAGCCTTTGAAGGGGCTACCAGTCGAAAGAATGTGGTCTTTGCAGGGAAGAGGCTGTCGAAGGATTGGCGGATACTCTAGCAGCTCCAGATCTTCCTCGGTCCAGTTCATGGGAATTTCCTTAGGTGAGTCAAGCCGAAACCGAGAGCGCATGCGCTTCTAACTTCTACCTCATGTTAGAGATCATGCCAATCTGTACACCTGTATCAGCTTGTCGCTGTCGTGGCAGCCATATCTGACATTGTCGGCCATCTAGCACGAACAGGTTGATAGAATTCGAAGTTCATGCTCTTCCGGTGCGAGTATCTGGGAATTCTCGAGGCAAGCTGTCTACCCATTCCTTGAGAAAGGATGCATCGCCTGACTTCGCCTTGAGCGCAAGCCGCATCCGCTCAGCGCACAAACACTCTACTCCGTGCACTGCAGTGCAGCCCGAACAGACAATCAGCATGTGCGCATCTGCCCCAATGATGCCTCTCGCAAGACCAAGATCGCCAGTTGTGCCCACCAAGGCAGCTGTTGCCAGTCCTGTGCCGCAGGACTGGATGTTCTGCAGTGCCGTGTCTTCTTTCTGTGGCCATGCTGATCCAGCCTCACTCATTGCAAAATCTTCACCGGCGGGACAGATCCCGCCTGTGGTGACCTGAACACCAGACACACAATACATCAAAAAGCAAACATCATGTGGGGGGGTGTCATCTGCTGATAATCTAATTTCTGGAAAACTCATGACTCTGCCTGGCCTGCAGTGCCCGCTTTGCTGGAACCGTGATGATGGCCTTCACTTCTGCTGGCCAGACCCGCACAAGGCATTGTAACGCTTGCCTCGTCCAGATCGATGCTGGATGTGGCAATCATCCTTAAGGTGCAAAAATCTTGCCCTAGTTTCAGTCGGTCTCATTCAGCTGTAAGGCCGGATCCCGCGCAAGTCCTTGCCAAAGGCATCTTTCAAAGTGGCGAGCTCCACCTCTACATGAGATGATAGATCAGATCGCAGAATTGGCAACACATGCTCACACACTGCATGCGAATGACACCCGACGGAATAGAGCATCACGGGTTTAGCTCGCCTTAGGTGCTTCGATGGCCAGCTCCTCTGCCCAGCTCCGCCAAGCCCGACACGGAAGTTGGCAAAAACCCCGCCGTCTTCGGAAACCTCGAGAATACCTTCTAAAGGCCACCGACGAGGCCACAGCCGAGGCAAGCAAAGCCGTTGCCCCAAATGTCTCCGTCACAGCTGGCACCTGCTCCGCGCCGAGCCCACACAAGCTATGACACGCAAGCTGTCAGCCGTCAGCCCTTCTCTAAGGACGAGGCCCTTGAGCTCGCTGTCTGCTGCGGTACAGCATGCGCCGTGCATGGTGGCCAGAGCACATTCTCGGAACGCAGGGCGGCTGATGCGGCGGCCAGCGGCGGGGCCGGCGAAACAGGGAAACGGAACATGACAACCCGGACTCTTGGAGCCGGGATGGTGGTTCAGGACCTGCTTCATCCAATTGTTGCAATGTGTGTGTGTGTGCGTGTATGTATGTATGTATGTATGTATGTATGTAGACATATATATATA